CCCACCCCCTATACCTCTGTTTAAAAATAGAACATATTTTTTTCCGAATTAGTCACGTGGTTTTACCTCATCAAGTAATGGGATAACCACATCAAAGAATGACAGGACCACATCAAATAATGAAACAAACACATCATGTAGTGTAAAATCGTCAAATTTTGAAACATCATTGCGTAATGTTAAAACCTTATAAAGAATAGGCAAATCATCATTACGAAATGACAAAACCACATCATGTAATGAAACAACTACATTACGTTAAGTCACATTCACATCAAGTAATGTTAAAACCACATTGACTAATGACACAACCACATTAAATAATGGTGAAACCACATCGAGTAATAACAAAACCATATTGAGTAATGACAAAACTATATCAAGTGAATACGAAACCATATCGTGTAATATCGAAATATCATTAAGTAATGACTATTCCATATTGTGTTATATCAAAACATCATAACGTAATGCCAAAACCATATTAAGTAAAGACAAAATATCATCAAGTAATAATAAAACAACATAAAGTAATATCAGAGTTCCACATAAGACAGCTGTGGCGTTCCATAGAAAACCTTGAGGTACTATTAGAAGATGATCTGAGATAGGTTTGTCAGTATTTGGCATTGAACAGGGGAAATTGTGGATTCCTATGTGTATTTTTTGTTGAATGATATGGATGCAGATGCGTTGTCTCCTTTGACATAATTGTGGAAAGTATAGTCACTCTTGAAATCTTTTATGCTTTATGCATACATTCTTTTTGTCAGATTTGTATATGCTGATTTTGTGTTGGTTTTTATAAATATTTATGTACTTGCTGCATAACTTGCTGTATTTACTGCTGATATACTTCATGTGTCCCAAACAGCTGCTTTATCATGCGCTTGATACATAGACAACTGGGTTGCTTTCAATATCGTAGCAGCCAGTATAGTCGCTTTGTCTTTGATATTGAACGATATGCTACGTAGCTAGCCATCAAAATGACATAATGAGTAATAACCTTTCCGACGCCATTTTGGAATCTCTAGAAATCTATATAGTCCTACGTAACAGCTACGATATTGAACGCATGTCAATCCTGTTTGAGATCGTCAGACATGTAAATCTTTATATAAAATAAAATAGAATAACTTTATTTAAATTCTGAATAATATAAGCATTGCATCAATAAACAAACTCTGGTCAGCTGTTTGCAGAAACTGTACTAGAAATTGAATGTTTTGTAACTACATGAAGCATTTTCTTATTTCTTTTCATATTCTGCAAACAGCTGACCAGAGTTTGTTTAATGATGCAATGCTTATATTATTCAGAATTTAAATAAAGTTATTCTATCCGTCTACATGTATATGTATCTGTTTATCACAAAACTTTTTTTTAAATAAAATAAGCGTTTTATATTTTATGTAAATACTTATTTAGAAATCATTTTGCATTTTTTAACTTTTCAAAGTTGAATCATATTTTTTTTTTATCTTTTATTAAAATGTTTTAAATTGTTATTTTTTCCTAAAACAAATATGACGTATGCATACATCTGCTACTCAAGGTTATTACTTAAGATACAATTACAAATATCTATACTTAAGTTATCTCCATATTTATCAATTACATGTGCATGTACATGTATGCAATCATTATAGTAGGAACTGAAACTTGTTTCACGCTTTTGTATTTGAAGGAAGTTTATTATTCTTGAAAAGATGATAATGTCTGATTACATAGACCTAGGAAACGATATGTCAACAGATACATCTGTCTTCAACAAAACACCCGACGAAAAATTGAAAATTACAAGAAAAAATGGAAAAATATCCTCGAGTGTTAAAGTGATAGGAGTTTCTATGGTGGTCATTCTGGTAGTTATATGTGTTTCTGCTCTAACCGCAGTGGTAACTGTTCATCTAATGGAAACAAACAAACCGGGTAATTTAATATAGGTTCATTTATTTCACACTTGCAAAACAACTTTTTTAAATTTTGTGAGAACTTCAGTATTCGTTCCAATTTAAATGTTTTACCCTTAGGTCAAACGTAGGTAGTATTTTAAATTAACTTTGTCCAAGAAACTATAAAAAGGTGACGAACAAGTGATATCTGTCAATATGAACTTGTACCGTTATATTTTTATTTGCAGCGAGTCTTTATAAAATAATATTCAAAACGTACAAATTTGTAATTGATTCTTACATTGCTATGTGGAGTTAATTTTACAGTTTATCAATAATATAGAGATCTATTGTTATGAAAGTTTGATTCCGCTTGCAGAATTTTATGAAAAGAGATATTTCGCATCCACCGTTTTGCAGTTATAGAGGATGAACAGTAATGTACGTTTTTTTGAATAGTTGCCACTGTCAATTGGGGATTTTGACAGTCGCAAATAGAGCTTTGCTGGAGACGCAGGGAGGAGTCAGTAAAAAGGACTTTTACGACTGTCAAATCAAAAATAAGTGCTGCCAACTATTCAAATACAGTACTATTATTCATATTCTAATGCAATACTCATAAAATGTTATAAAACAAAAACCCAACCATTTCGAATATCCTGTAAGAGTCGACTGCGATTGTGCAACTGGTTGTTGCCAATGACCCCGACCGTCAACCGTGCAATTGATGACATACGCCAAAAGTGGAGTTACATGCCTAATTGCATTAGAATGTTGTTTATATAGCTCAATTTTCAATTGTCCTTCAATTATTCCTTCTTGGCTTAATAGACGAATTAAAGGGGCACTAGCTAAGAGATATATTAGAAATATAAAATATGATTTTTTTTGTTCAATCAATAATGAAAGTGAAATAGTGAAATAATATATCGCTTTTAGCAGCCAGTATGGTTCAATTTTGTCAAAAAAAGCTTAGAAACATTGATGATGAATTATTCACTTGCAAGTCATTGAATCCGTATTCATGTGAACTTCAATTTAACCCCTTAGCTAGAGATGGATACCGCATGCTTTGTGCGTGTTCAATTATTTAAATGAAAAGAATGTCAACATTGAAAGTGAAACAAAGGTAAATCATTTGATTGACTGATTCGATCCACAAAAAATCATTCTTATACGGGTAAAAACGATGATTTACATATATTTTTAATCTATAATATGAAATTAAACAGACATTTAGAAAAATCCAAATGCACGAGTCTGAAATCTATTTATATCTATATTTATGTTTATATCGCTTATATGGCAATCGGAGGTCAACTCGACAGTTAATTAGATGGCGTCTAGACTAAAATACATACGAAACGAATCTACATATTATCGAGCCCATGCCCGGTATATTGTTTATTTTAGACTTTTTATAATTTGAATAAATATTTGACATAGTTATAAATCAAATATGAGAATTTGAGTCAAATCGGTGAACATGAATTTGACAGCTAGTGCCCCTTTAATAAAGGTTTTGTTGTTCAACCTCATGTATAATATTTTTGGGATAAACATCGATTTGCTAAGATATGGTTTAGGGAAATACTGAAGTGTTTCTTTGGTATGTCTTTGTTTTGTAATGTACATTAAAGTTTGGCATGTTAGTAAGACATCTGTCTATTATTTAAGATTGTATATTGTCCTCTAGGTTTCTTGGTTATTTTTGTTATAACCAGCGTCTTCTTTTATTTATATCAACAATCCCGTCAAAAATTGGGTTGCTCGGTATATATGTTACATTAACCACTATTATATATGTAAATATTATTTATATGTAACAGTTATGTATGTTAAGTTATGTACCTTTTTGTAAGACCCCGTTCAAGATTGAAAAGAGGGATAATTGAAAACTCAAAGAACTATGAAAAAAAACTCATCACATGACATCTACTGTCCAACGTCAAACATCACGTCAGTACTGTACAAAGTAAAATAACAAAAATACCAAACTCCGAGTAAAATTCAAAACGGAAAGTCCCTAATCAAATTACAAAATTAAAAGCTCAAACACATCAAACAAATGGATAACAACTGTCATATTCCTGACTTAGTACAGGCATTTTTTATGTAGAAAATGGTGGATTAAACCTGTTTTTATAGCTAGCTAAACCTCTCACTTGCATGACAGTTGCATAAGATTTCATTATATTTACAAAAATGTGTGAACAAAACAAACAGACAAAATAGGTAAAAATGTCAAAAATAGGGGTACAGCAGTCAACATTGTGTTATAACCGTAATCACTATAAAAAACAAACAAATATGTCAACAGGGATACGATACAACAGGGACACACGTGTCATAACTTGGTCCAGATTGCATCCCTGTTGTATCGTATTATAATTGTTATCCTGAGAATCTGGAGTCTATGGAAGTTATTCTGTTAAAAATATTCACATATTTCTAAAGTCGGGTGTTTTTGAGCTTGACATGTTTTAATTTATGAAGGCTGTATGCCGACCTTTTTGTTTTCCTAGTCTAGCCATAATGTAAAAATATTTAACAGATTTAGAAATAATTGGTGTGCTCGAAGCACTTTACTGGATTTACCGTCATCAGGAACGCCAAGGATGTATAAGTACTTGAATACGTAATGAGCTATATGCCACCAAACGAGACCTGTGAGAATAGCTAATTTTATATAAGGTCGATAGCCTGATGAAGAACGATTATATTACCAAAGTACTGACTACAGAGCTGATGATACCCTCGGGGACTAGCGGTCTACCAGCAGTGTCATATACCCAGTGCTAATAAATGAAAGTGGTGCGTCTGAATTAAAGCTGATATAGAAATCATGCTTCTGATCTGGACCAAGTTATGACATTTGTATCCCTGTTGTAAATGTTTTACAGTAATGGCAGTATCCCATGATAGACATCTACAAGGGGAAGATTTGAAATCTTAAGAAAGGACAACTTTTAAATTCCACATTGCATATGCCCGTTCCAAGTCAAAACCATCGTCAGTCGTTGCTTTTAAACACGTTTTCGAATAAGACAGCTTGAGTATCCTAACTTTTGTTTATACATACTCTTCAGAGCGCAACGCTTCGGAGGAAAACACAGAACATTCTTTGAAAAATTTCTTTAAAAGGAACTATGCAAATGAAACAATGGGAACAAATGGCTCAGTTAGCGGTAAAGTAGAGGAAGGCATAAAGGGAGAAAAAGGAAATGTTGGTGAAAATGGACTACCAGGTATAAGGGGACCGACAGGCAAAAAAGGTGGGTTTGAAAAATAGGAATACTTTCATTAATTTGAGTATGAATGTAAACGCAAGCATAATATTGAAACACTGGTCATCATCTGGTTAAGACAAGAATTAGTTCTTTAATAGGAAAACTATTAGAATAAAAATTTACAAATTAAACTTTTTGTATCTAAGTATCAACTGTCTTGTGCAACAGTTCTGTTTTTGTTTTTTCACAAATAGTGCATTAAGTACAGTATTTCAGGTTTCTGTTCAGTCTAAATAAATTCTATTTGTACATAGCTGCGATATATTAAGAATTTTTCTTTGTTCCTATATATCCTGTATTACTATATGTAAGTAGCAACATATCAGCATCGCCTACATATGCTGTATATACCTTCCAGAGCTTGAATTACCTATAATTACTTTATTGATAGAGGGTTCCTGCTTTTACAAGGAAGCTATTGAACCAATGGTTTCTAACGGTAAAGTTTAACTTATCCTTTCTTAAGTTTTACGGACGCAATCATTATTGTGTTGATCATAATTGAATGTCTGTGACAGAGATGACATCAAATATGCTCCAATGCTCGTAGAAACAATTCCGATCTCTTTTCATATTTCATCGGGATTGTGACATGATTACCGAATGCGAAATATCATTGAATTTGAACTGGTAATAAGCAAAACAACGGGTGTCACAAATGGAGCAGAATCTACTGACTTTTCATGGGCACCTGAAACCCCCCACCCCACGGTTTTTTTTGTGGGATTCGTAACTCATATTTATCAGTCTTTGGTTTAAAGTGTAGTGTTTTGTAGACTGTTGTTCGTCTTTTCGTCGTTTTTTCGTCATGGTTTGATTATTTACCTTATGTTTGTTTTTTGATGATTTTGATGCTTTTTTTGTTTTTCTTTCATTAATGATTTTATTGATTGTCCGAAGCATTTCTTCTGTTATTTTTTTTTATCTTGACGTCCGAATAATCAACGATTAAGAGATAAAGATTTGTGTTGTCAAAGACATCAATACGACCAGTATATATTCGAATCAAATCGACAATATTAGTTATTATAAAAATAAGGAGAAGTGGTATGACTTCCTTTAAGATAACTATCCACCAAAGTTCAAATGAAGTGGATGTAAGTAATTATAGGCAACCGTACGGTCTTCAACGACGAGAAAAACACATACCGTATAGTCTGCTATAAAAAGCCACTTAACAGTTAATGCGTGTTGACCGAACTATACATACACATAGGAGCCTACAAATTCTCGCAATAACAAACTTGTAAAAAAACCTTTTTATTTTTTAGAAAGTTATTAGCCCTATCATTAAATTTATTGAATGAAATAAATAGTAGTGAAAACAGTCTGTTTCTGCTCTTTGGTCTGGTTGCTATCTCTTTGGCACATTCCCCATTTCCATTCTCAAGTTTAGTATATAAAAACTTCTAACAATATATGTTTCTTTGAATTTTGTGTTCTGTGCCGATATGCCGAGCTCATGCACCAATTCCTTCCTAATTGACATTTTCAGTTTGTTGCTACACAAAGTTCCCAGGTGATGTGACTGTGCAAATTCAGTTCATATTATTGAAAGTCTTCTTAAAAAAAAGGGCCACACATTTTGGTTGACGTCACGGGATACTGCTCTGAGTTATGTAGTTGAAGAGTTGCCGTCGTCAATTAGGATTTGATGGTTTCTGTACGTGATGACGTACAGTACTAGCAATACATAAATGTCGGCTGTTTTAACTTATTGTTGTCGCTTTATGTTCGTCCTTCGTCTGTTAACCTTTTCAAAGACCTTCATCTCCTTTTTTAATTTCATATTGATCAATCAATCATCATGGTCTAAATGGTTAAATATAGAACATAAAGGTCAATTTCAAGTCATTGTTACTCTAATTGATATTTACAGAAAATCTAACAGTCGCAAAAATGTTCAGAATATTATCAGATTATTACTTGGCATTTTTCATATCAGATGTATTATCAGCCCAAGGTTCAATATCAGCCCAAGAGCCGAAGGCTCGAGGGCTGATATTGACCGAGGGCTGATAATACATCTAATATGAAAAATTACATGTTATGATCTTTTTATCATATGCTTCAACAATGGAGAAAATAACAGTTTAATATATTGATCCTGTTTAGTGGTTCTCAAGTATAGAAGTTCAAAAAGTGAAAAGTTTACGACGTCGGACGATAAATGTAATACATCCGATATGAAATCTTTCTATCATATGCCTCAACAGAGGAGAAAAATTACAGTATAAAATATGTTTATATTGACGATTAAAAAAATTCAACAAAACATAATGAACACTGTTTGGAAAGGTCAACAACAATTTTGTAAGATAACTTTCTAAATTATGCTGGAAACTTTGAAAATGCATTTATTGTATCATTAGTTTTTTTGCTTTTACATAATATATTTTCCTGTTTCCTAATAATTTTTTGTATCCTACTTTGTTATGTTTTTCACTGAAACCGTACCATTGAGGTGTATTTTCCGGAATTTGCCGAGTAACACCGGAATGCCATGCAATAACGTTACGGAAAGGCATGTGATAATAGCTAAAGCATGTGATAAATTTTTCATATCAGCCCGCTAAACACCAATTCGGAAAATATGGAATTCATGTAAATTTAATGCTGTTATCATACTGTTAAAATTACAAGTTATTTACTCTAAGTATATGATAACATGATTTATCATATACTTATAAAAAAAAATAATGGTATAATCGTACCCCTTGATGAAAGTGTAAATTGTACATTTTTATTTACTGTAAATTCAGAAATTATTGCGTGCATTTATTATTGCGATTTTTCAAGAATGACAACGCGAGTTTAATTATTGCGATTTTAGGAAAAGCTTTGTACAGATATACAAAACAGATATCAGAATGCGAGTTTTTATTTTTGCGATACTCAAGGAGTCGCATTATTCGCATTAATAAAAACCTCGCAATAATTTCTGAACTTACATTATTAAATCTGAAGAATTGTCTAAGTCGTGCGATATGACTTTCGTAATCAACTGCTTCTGATTTATATCAACTCTTTCCGGCTTATATCACACACTCAATCCGTATTCGCCTTATCAGTAATTTCCGTAATCAATTCGCTAATTACACTAAATAAACAAAAAAACATAGCAGATGACAGTTGGCTTTAGACCACAATTAATTCTCTTTGTTCGTGGTCTAGGAATATAGTTCCCAATTATTATATGGGGTATTTCTTCCTGAGTATTCTGACTACTGTTTTCTTTGAAATGTTTACTATTTAAGTGGTCCTATCAGTTGCATATGTATTAAAATAAGTAAAACATGTGGGAAAAATTTATTGTTGAAAGTGAAAGTAGTGATTTGGCCAAAATGAAAGTAGGGTAGAAATTAGCCCTCGGCAATTATTCAAGATTATCCTACCATTGGCATGTTAATATGGCTCTCAAAAGAAAAAGCACTGATGAATTGTCCTGGGACAAGCATATTTTATTAGAATAATAATGGTCTATAAGCAGTTTAATTTATTTCATGTTTGATGCGGTGCAAATTTTTTAATTCAATTTGACTTTTACAAAGAAATGCATTGTAACCAATGGGAAGAATAATTGTGGTCTGAGGCCAGTTGGGACGAAACCACCGATTACATAAATTCCCCTAATATGTCGACACAAATAGAAAACACTCGGTGATATTAATTTTTTGACCAAATGGATGAGGGGTAATGATGATATAAGAAGTTTGGAGGATATTCCTATTATGCAATGGTCAAAATTATAGCAATTTTTTTTTTATGAAAATCACAAAATATGACGTCAGTTCTTACGAGCCCAGTACAATCAAATCCTTCCAAAGTAGTTTTTAAAGTCACTTAATGGATAATAGGAACATAAATATCATAAAAGACAAGGAGTTCCATCACTCCAGAGAGGTTTTATCAGCCAAGACGAAGGAGTTGATGTCTATGGGCATGGTATCAAAAAAAAAAAAAAGGTGCAGATTCATTCACGACAGATGAAATTGATGTACTGTATGAAATTGATGTACTTTAAGAGAAGGATAAAAACTGGTTACTCACATTTTGAAAATTTTGAAACATAAATGTGTTGTTATAAATTTGTTTCATATTAAACTTGTTTAAAATAAATTTTCAACCATGACTGTATCCATACATAGGCCTAATGACATAAAAATCACATTTCGTCCTTTTTTCATATCAGGCACATTAACAGAATTTTAACTGGGACTTTCAAAACAACAATACTGAAGTATATGATAAAAAGATCATAACATGTCATTTTTCATATCAGAGCCCTTATCATCCCATGGTCATATCATTCCTCGAGCCTGTCGGCTCTCGGGCTGATATCATGACCTAAGGATGATAAGGGCTCTGATATGAAAAATGCCATGTTATGATCCTTAGGTCATGATATCAGTCCGAGAGCCGACATGCTCGAGGGATGATATTGACCATGGGCTGATAAGGTGTCTGATATGAAAAATGACATGTTATGATCTATATGTATATACCTTCTTGTCTATTAAAATTATCCTGATATTGGTAACGGCCCATAAATAACAACTAACAACCAATTAATAAATTTTCCTATCATTTTTAAAATATAACAGAATTAATCAACAGCAAATGATCAGCACTATTTGATCTACAGAAATGCCAAAAAATCAACTAACGTTAATTTCTTTTAATACTGCATTTTAATCTTGAAAACTTTTCTATATTGTATGAAACAGTAAACAGCAAAAAGTACAAACAATACAAGATCTACACACACACAAAAGAAATGTTACTGAAACCAATAATGGACTCTGGATGAGGAAATTGTAAACAGGACAATTTTGGAATAAATAAGTATCTATCTAAAAAGATATATATGAATTGTTATAAAATATGGACATCAACGGTAACAAGCAATACACAATTAAAGTTAAAGCTAAACATTCATTGCCAAAACTGTCAATTGATAGTTTATTATAGTTATTGTCCTTGAAAATATGCTATTTATTTGCATTTTATGTTTTTTAAATTCAAAAAAATGCAACAGTAGTATACCACTGTTCAATAGTCAGAAATCGATTATGCGAAAACAAATCCGGGTTACAAATATTCAATCAAATGAATATGTAAAATTGAGAATGGAAATGCATGCATGGGGAATGTGTCAAAGAGACAAAAACCCGACTAAAAAGCAGAAAACAGCCGAAGGCCACCAATGGGTCTTTAACACAGCGAGAAAATCCCGCACCCGGAGGCGGGCTTCAGCTGGCCCCTAAAACAAAATGTGTACTAGTTCAATGAAAGTGGACGTCACACTAAACTCCGAAACATATAAATGAACTAAAATTAAAAAACATTCAAGACTAACAAAGGCCAGAGGCTCCTGACTTGGAACAGGCGCAAAATGCGGCGGGGTTAAACATGTTTAGTGAGGTCTCAACCCCCCCCTCCCTAATACCTCTAGCCAATGTAGAAAAAACAAAAACACAGCAATACGCACAGTAAAACTCAGTTTGACAGAAGTCCGAGTCCGATGTCAGAATAGGTAACAAAAGAAGCTAGGCAAAAGGACAATAATACATAAATTAACAAAGGACTACTAGCAGTTACTGACATGCCAGCGCCAGACCTCAATTAAACTGTCTTCATCATATAAAAATCAAGAACAATCCCTCCTGTTAGGGGTTTAGTATCATACCATCAAAAAATATATGAGAAGAACATAACCCGTATCATGACAACAACTGGTTTTAGAATAAATGTGTTTATTTCCGATGCAAAGTGAATCAATATTAATACCAAAATATGCCATCTTTAATGACCTGACATTATCGTAACTATATCCCTTCTGAATAAGTCTGTTTAAAGGTTTGGTTAGCTTTAGAGATAAATGCCGACACCTTTGTGCTTTGTAAAGAATATTACCATGAAAGATAGGATGTGAAATACCTGAACGTATAAGATGTCTGCATGTTGAATTATATTTACGAATGGTGTCCTTGTACCGATGATAAAATTTAGTAAATGTTCTGACTAGTTTGTGATATCGAAAACCTTGGTGTAATAATATTTCAGTAATACAGAGATTTCTTTCTTTAAAATCAAATACGTTGTTGGATACACGAGCGAATCGAACAAGTTGAGATATATAAACACAATAAGATGGTGACATGGAACGTCACCATCTAAAAATGGATAATTAACAATAGATAAAGAAAAAACATCTCTTTTATCATAAATTTTGGTATTAAGCTTCCCGTTAAAGATATAGATATAAGATCTAGGAAAGGGCAGTGTTCATTGTTAGTATTAGCTTTATTTAAAGTCAGTTCAATCTCTTTAGTGTACATACTGAAGTCGTCAATATTGAGAGACAATATATCATCCAAATATCTAAAAGTGTGTTTAAATTTTCGTATCAGATGTTGTTTCGATGGGTCTTTGCTGATTTTAGTCATAAATTGTAACTCATAACAATATAGAAACAGGTCCGCAATAAGTGGTGCACAGTTATTCCCCATTGGAATTTCCGATAACTTGACGATATACGGAATCTCTTCCATTTCTTAATTTCATTTTTGTTTTTGTTATACGTATTTACAATTGAAAGGAGTGTAAGAAATGTATTTAGACTTTATATCTAGATTGTATAATGATCTACAGATTAATGATAGCTGTTAAGAAGAGGACCATTTAGATATGGAAAAGGAAGTGCTTTAATAATTCCGTTTCTAGTTTCTTGAAATAATTTTTATTCTGATTTTTAACATGAATAAAATATATTATATTCCAAATGAGCGGTATGGACTCTATGAGCCTTTATTTAACATATAACAATATTCTTTTTTCAACTTTGACTGAAATGATTGTTGTGTGTACGTGCAAAATGACAAGTAAAACGAGAAAACACATTGACCCCAGAAAATATCGGTTCTATGATAAAATTTTAAATATAACAGATATATCTGATATTTACAAGTAGTATTTTAAGAATTTCTAATATGTATAGAAACATTTGACTTTAAGTAGGAACAATAAAGTTTAATTAACGTGGGAATTTTCTGTGATATATGTCAAAAATAGTGTATCATGTTAAGATGTACAAAGTCCGTATAGCTACTTCATCTCATCTTCAATCTTTTTGTCATAAAAGTGTTTAAATATGAAAGTTGATACTCTAAAGGTGATATTAAAATTAATAAATATTTTGTTGTTTTGGTAACGTACTGAAATTAAAACATTAATTATCCTACAGTAATAATTTAGTTCATTTTGATTTCAACACTTTGTACCTCCATTCAGACACTGATATGCTTTTTACTATTCGACTTCCATATGTGGACGTTGAAAATAATTTTTTTTTTTATTTTTTTATATCTTATATACTTTCTGCTTTATTACAGCAAAGTTACCCTACTTTTAACATCCAGTCTATTTTAATGCATTCAATGTAGAACAAGGCCGCAAACGCTAACAATGAACACAACGAAGATTAAACAGTAGTTAATTTTAAGGCGTTGACCGCGGACAAAACCCGGAAATAATCTTATAAACATGTCTGATATTCATTGAGTGCATTTCTTATAATTATTCAGCCGAAGTCAAAGTGAAAATAAAAATGCAGAATTTCGAAAATCAAAATGAATACTTATAACAATCTTCGATAGATGAATATTAATATGATTAATATAAATTAAGAGATTAATACGGTCATTGCTGTTTCATTAATTTTAACAAAAGCTGCAAATAGTGATCTTTTCCGGTATTCGAACTGTGTCACATGCATACAAAATTGACAGATATAGAATACTAGTATTTACCATAGTTGTACACATTATAGGTGAACATGGCGAGAAAGGAACGAAAGGCAACAAAGGACCGACTGGTGATCTTGGTTCAATTGGCGACAAAGGTCAAATCGGAGAAAAGGGTCCAGTCGGCAACAAAGGACAAATGGGAGAAAAGGGAGAAAAGGGACTACTTGGTGCAAAAGGACAATTAGGTGCCAACGGACCAAACGGTGAGAAAGGCTACATCGGCGAAAAAGGTCAAAGAGGAGACAACGGTTCTATCGGTGACAAAGGTGAAAATGGGGACAGAGGTCAGACAGGTAACGAAGGTCCAGATGGTGAAAAAGGTTCCATCGGTGAGAAAGGTCAAAGAGGTGATAATGGAATCACGGGAAGTAAAGGTGGCAATGGAAAATTTGGGGACAAGGGAGCAGTTGGTGACACGGGTATCATCGGAGACAAAGGTCAAACAGGTGACAAGGGTATCATCGGAGACAAAGGTCAAACAGGTGACAAAGGTCCCACTGGAGAGCCAGGCAGCAAAGGTCAATCCGGTGACAAAGGTGCCAATGGCGAAAAGGGTTTAAAAGGGTCATCCGGTGAATCAGGTAAAGGTCTGTATTCTTTTTCACAAAACAAATCAATATATTAGCAAAAAACATCAATCGTACAAAAATATGAATGAGTAGACAAGGAAAGAAAGAAGCAACGTCCAGTAATTGATATCAGTATTATTATTTTTGAAAGATGTCTTTAGAGCAATCTGATTAAAATAAAAATCCTGTGTCAACGCTTTCCTTTAAGGATATGACAACGGTCCGTTATTCTTTCTGTATTAAAGTCCTTTTGGGATCCTCTAATTTCCTTGTAATGATACACATCTTTCAAATAATGTGCAGATAGGCATTTCATTGACTGAATCTTTTTTTACACGAACTTGTAATCGAAGCTTGGACACATGATCTGTGTAGTACCGTAATTATATTGTCTTAGCGTAGTTTGGTCTCATTGGCAATCATGCCACATCTTCTTATTGGTTTTCTTTCTCATCCACTCTACATCTCCGTTTAATTCATTAAGTTCACATTCATGTATATTTAAAGAATTTGGTGTTGTCGTACGTACATGAAATGTGTCTATTCATCTAAAAAATTAACTCGCTTACGTATTTTTATCTTATGTTCAAGATAATACAGTGCTGATATATTCATTCAATCGATGTCATATATATACAGTGATTTCTAGGATGTCTACATGTTAACGCTTATGTTGTGAGTTCGAACTCAGCTCGTTCGACTTTTTAACTGGATTGGCAGTTAGTCTACCAAATTTAGGTGGCCCTCTTTCCAATAAATACCATCATAGAGCGAACGGTGGTGAAATTGGAGTAAAACACCAACAATCAATCATTCAGTCGATGCAAATTCGTTTTGCCTACGCCTGACATAGTTTGACTGTTATTTACTGATATTTAACATAACATAACATAAAAAAGTATACATGTATTTGAAATGTTTACATATAAGTATTTATAAATACTCGAAAATCCCTACGAAAATAAACAACATGTAACAGCATATCGTATGCCTCGTTAATTGAATGACTTCTTTGAATACAAGTTAAATAATAAAAATTTGCTAAAACAAAACTTTTGTTTTTCCAAAAATTGAATAACTGCTCAACAACTCTCAATGCTTTTTATTATAGGAAAGGTTCCTGTGGTTGTCTTTCGTGCTCGAAATGTGTCGCCAGACGCAGATCTTTCGAACACAATAATTAAATTTCCTAATGTAGCTATCAATTCTGGAAGTGGATATGACAAATCAACTGGAAAATTTACAGCTCCCCAGGCAGGTACATATTTGTTTATGTTACAAATATGTCCAGAAGATACACATAATGTGCTGATGACGTTGAGAGCTAATAACAACAAATTTGGGGTTCTTAATCAGAAAAACAATCATGATGACGGTCCATGTACCTCCACTAGTGCTGTTACTCTGCTGTCGGAGGGAGAGGAAGTCTGGGTATATTGTGAATCAGCAAGTGACGGTGATTCAGTATGGAATGCAAATGAAAATGGCAATAGCTTTTCGGGTGTCTTATTACATACAGGAACTATATAATCCATACAACAAACAGTAGTTTTACAATATAAAGTTATAAAAATAATTATGTTTCAATACATGCAAGACGCGTTTTCCAAACATTTCGTCAAACCCTATGCTTTTTGGAAAAGTTGTTCCTGATGACCTCATATGCTCATTAAAATAGCTATTGTCATCACGTAAAGTACAATGGAATTGATTATCGTTCCATGGTACACATTTAAATTGAATATCTATTTTCCAAGATCATACCACTTATATTTAATTAACTCTTGGTTAAAATATCCTTGGAAGGACATATTATCCCTTTTGCTAACAACAGAGGATCATTCTAGCTTCTCATTCGGCTCATTTCAACTTAACTTAGCTTGAATAGTGTTTTGACGATTAATTTTCAGATTGAAAGCATCAAACAGTTACAGAAATCAAACAGGGTTTGCACTTTAGTCTGTGCAACCCATTTTCTTAACCCATTGATTTTTTTACTGTTAATTCAGAATTTTTTGCGAAAATTGCGAGAGGATGTATGTCGCAAACTTATAAACTCACATTTTACATTTTGATGGCATTATTTGTATGCAGCATTTCATGAAGTAGCAATATTTGAACCCTCATTTGTGTCAATTGTTCAACAATCGCAATAATAGATGCACGCGATAATTTCTGAATTTAAAGTATATGGTTACAGATAGAACGTCGTGATGGTTTTGAATCATATTCTCGATCCGTGTCACACAAATAAGTAATAGCTCATTAAACATTACCTGTTTTAAAAAAGATATCAGTTCAAAACATACCCGTATTTCAGATGGGACTTGCCATTTTGTAATAGCTTTATGGATATGTTTACACGTCAGTTCAATATTCCTTTCACTGTTTTTTTGTTTTTGTTTTCGTTTTGCGACATGTAAGGTATCCAAGGATTATTCTGTATCTGTATTTATCAATACCCCCGAGAGGAATGGTTTCACAAAAAGCAAAGTTCTATTTTGAGACATTTTTATGCCTTAAGTTCATTTGCTATGTATCTGGCAGTCACCAGAGAAGTCAATCGTAAACCATTATAATTTTATAATTATTGGTCTAGTTTCCGGTTGTTTTGCTAAAATTTATAAACCAATATACATCTGTAGCGGAAACTGTGCTGGTAGTTGAATATTAACCACTATATAGGAGAGGCTTTGTATTGATGTCTTTTATATATATATATCTTACCTCCTATACATTTCTAGGAATATGATTGGTTAAAAGCAACCGCGTGAAGGCCGTGTATATTTCATATGGGGTTAGTAGACGTGGTTTATTTCAATACACGGTTAGTAGTGGTGTTACGTCCATTAGTAAAAACAACATGGTGTTGAGTAAAAATCTGAACTACATCCAACACAATTATATATTTCAATGTAAGGTATGTTAATATAGTGTGGATCCTCGTGAAAATCAATTGTTATACATTTGAAGGTTGATATATTTTACCAGTCAATGATTCTAAATATATTCTGTCGTGATGGTTTTCACGACGTTCTACATATCGGATATGTTCCTTATGCCGTAACTACAATACCCTTCCCTTTTCACGAATGTGACTTACAGAATTAGACTATTTACCGGATTTGTAATAACATAAGCAACACGACGGGTGCCACATGTGGAGCAGGATCTGCTTACCCTTCCGGATCACCTGAGATCACCCCCAGTTTTCGGTGGAGTTCGTGTTGCTTAGTCTTTAGTTTTCTATGTTGTGTCACCTGTACTATTGTCTGTTTGTCTTTTTATTGTTTTATCGTTGTCAGTTTGTTTTCGATCTATGAGTTTGACTGTCCCTCTGGTATCTTTCGTCCCTCTTCTATTAAAGTCGGTCAATAAGAAATTAAATGTATGTGTGTACATGTATATATATATTAGCAACTCACAGGGTGAAGGTTAAATCTGTCATTTATGATATATGTGTGTTCTTCATTTTGTCTCTAAATTCTATAGTTGAAAATACCTGTATGTTTTACTTTTGCTTTTTTAGTTATCATCGAATACTTTTAAAAACAACCAAGATGTCACTTAATCTATTACACATATGTTCTTTAAATTGTCAGGGGTTGAGAAAATATGAAAAAAGAAACAGACTAAAAGAATGGATGAGACAACAGAAATGCAATATTATTATATATTTTTACAAGAAACTCATTTTTCGGATAATTCTATAGACAAAGAATTCACGGGAGAATTATATCATAGTTTGGAAGTACACAATCAAGGGGTGTTTCGATTTACATTAACAAAATAATTAAACATGAAATTATTGACAAGTATGTAGATCAAGAGGGAAGAATTGTTTTAATCAACATAAAAATTGATAAAAATATATTTACTTTTGTAAACCTTTACGCCACAAACACATGTAAAGATACAAATATATTCTTTTAAAAAGCTTTAAGTGTCATTGAAAAATATAGCCTTGGTATAAATTATTATAGTGTGAGATATGAATGAAAAGCTTAATATAAAAGATAGAAAAAGTAATAGAAAAGATAAACAAAAAATAAAAAATAAGACTAATGCGTTGAAAAGTTTAATAAAAAAACTAAAAGTAAAAGACATTTAGAGAGTAATAAATCCAAATAAAACACAATATACCTGGAGAATTAAAATAATGAAGTAGCTAGTAGAATTGTTATTTTCTCGTTAGTCAAGACGTGAGACCTAGGGTACTCCACACTGATATAAGACCCGCTACAATTCAATATACAGACCATCTAGCGATTTCACTTAAGATAAATCATTGTCAGGGGGAGAAAGGAAAGGGTTATTTCAAATTAAACAATAGTATTCTTAAAGACGAATCATACAAAATGAATATAAACACTTTAAAAGATAAATATGAAAATTTAAGAAACCGAAAAAGCTTAGCAATCGTGTGGGATCTGTTTAAAATAGAGGTAAAGGAGACGACTATTGAACATTGTAAAATTAAAGCTAAAAATAAAAGAGATGAAATTAAAAAATTAAAACAAGAACTAAAACTTTTGAATGAAATTCAAGATAACAACCTTGATAAAAAGAAAAGAAATTGCCGAACATAATAGATTCAATAAAGAAACCCGAAGAAATGCTACAAACTCTATATTCTGATAAAAAGGGGCACAAATAAGATCAAGATTTAAATGGATAGAAAAAGGCGAAAAAAATAAAAAATATTCCTAATGTAGCTATCAATTCTGGAAGTGGATATGACAAATCAACTGGAAAATTTACAGTTCCCCAGGCAGGTACATTTTTGTTTATGTTACAAATATGTCCAGAAGATACACATAATGTGCTGATGACGTTGAGAGCTAATAACAACAAATTTGGGGTTCTTAATCAGAAAAACAATCATGATGACGGTCCATGTACCTCCACTAGTGCTGTAACTCTGTTGTCGGAGGGAGAGGAAGTCTGGGTATATTGTGAATCAGCAAGTGACGGTGATTCAGTATGGAATGCAGGGGAAAATGGCAATAGCTTTTCGGATGTCTTGTTACATACAGGAACTATATAATCCATACAACAAACAGTAGTTTTACAATATAAAGTTATAAAAAAAATTTTGTTTCAATACATGCAAGACGCGTTTTCCAAACATTTCGTCAAACCCTATGCTTTTTGGAAAAGTTATTCCTGATGACCTCATATGCTCATTAAAATAGCTATTGTCATCACGTAAAGTACAATGGAATTGATTATCGTTCCATGGTACACATTTTAATTGAATATCTATTTTCCAAGATCATATCACTTATATTTAATTAACTCTTGGTTAAAATATCCGTGGAAGGACATAGTATCCCTTTTGCTAACAACAGAGGATCATTCTAGCTTCTCATTCGGCTCACTTCAACTTAACTTAGCTTGAATAGTGTTTTGACGATTAATTTTCAGATTGAAAGCATCAAACAGTTACAGAAATCAAACAGGGTTTGCACTTTAGTCTGTGCAACCCATTTTCTTAACCCATTGATTTTTTTTACTATTAATTCAGAATTTTTTACTTTTGTAAACCTTTACGCCCCAAACACATGTAAAGATACAAATATATTCTTTTAAAAAGCTTTAAGTGTCATTGAAAAATATAGCCTTGGTATAAATTATTATAGTGGGAGATATGAATGAAACGCTTAATATAAAAGATAGAAAAAGTAATAGAAAAGATAAACAAAAAATAAAAAATAAGACTAATGCGTTGAAAAGTTTAATAAAAAAAACTAAAAGTTATAGACATTTGAAGAGTAATAAATCCAAATAAAACACAATATACCTGGAGAATTAAAATAATGAAGTAGCTAGAAGAATTGCTATTTTCTTGTTAGTCAAGACGTGAGACCTAGGGTACTCCACACTGATATAAGACCCGCTACAATTCAATATACAGACCATCTAGCGATTTCACTTAAGATAAATCATTGTCAGGGGGAGAAAGGAAAGGGTTATTTCAAATTAAACAATAGTATTCTTAAAGACGAATCATACAAAATGAAAATAAACACTTTAATAGATAAATATGAAAATTTAAGAAACCGAAAAAGCTTAGCAATCGTGTGGGATCTGTTTAAAATAGAGGTAAAGGAGACGACTATTGAACATTGTAAAATTAAAGCTAAAAATAAGAGATGAAATTAAAAATTAGAACAAGAACTAAAACTTTTGAATGAAATTCAAGATAACAACCTTGATGAAAAGAAAAAAAATTGCCGAACATAATAGATTCAATAAAGAAACCCGATGAAATGCTACAAACTCTATATTCTGATAAAAAGGGGCACAAATAAGATCAAGATTTAAATTGATAGAAAAAGGCGAAAAAAATACAAAATATTTTTTGGGATTAGAGAAATCGAGACAGACAAGAAAAAATATTAATGCTATTAGGGACAGTGAAGGGGAAATAACTGAGAATCAAGGTGAAATATTAGAAACGGGGAGTAATTATTATGTAAATTTATATACGTCAACTAAGCCAGATTTAGGAGAAATTGAGAATTATTTTGAAAATACAAAAATAAACTGTAAACTTACTACACACGAAAGTAATGAAATTGAAGGAAAGCTGACAATAGAGGAATGTACTGATTCTGTTTTTAAATGAAACTTAACAAAACACCGGGTATTGATGGTCTTCCAATTGAATTTTATAGATCTTTCTGGTCCAATTTACACTATTTTGCTGTAGATGTCTTTAATCATTGTTATGAGAAAAAAGAATTGACAAATTCACAGAAACTAGGATTAATTACCCTTATTTACAAGAAAAATGACCCGTTAAATTTAGACAATTATAGACCAATTACTTTATTAAATGTAGATACCAAAATTATAGCATATTCTCTTGCACAAAGACTTAAACCAGTATTGCATAAAATCATTCACAGTGATCAAAACGGGTATGTAAAAAACAGATATACTGGGTTTAATATTAGACAAATCCAAGATATTATCGACTAATCAGAAAAATTCAATGTAGACGGGGCAATCCTTTTTTTAGATTTTTCAAAGGCATTTGACTCGTTAGAATGGGAATTTATGTATTGTTCATTAAAGAAATTTGGCTTTCAGAAATCTTTACTGAAGTGGATAAATACTTAATATGCAGATATAAAGGGTTGCATATTAAATAATTGGTGGATTTCAAGACCCTTCAGCATTGAGCGCGGGATCCGTCAAGGGTGTCCCGCGAGTTCTACAATTTTCGTTATTGCTGTTGAAATTCTAGCCTGTAGATTAAGACAAGATAAAAAAAATTAAAGGTTTTCAAATCAAACTAGATAATAAAACCCATACTCTAAAGTTAAGCCAGCTTGCAGATGACACCACTTTATTTTTAAATTCAAAACAAGAAGTTTCATTAACTTTGAACATTATCGAAATTTTCGGATCACTTTCAGGCCTAAAGCTTAATCGAAATAAAACAGAGGGGATATGGCTCGGAAATTTAAAGTCCTGTAAAGATAAAGTTGAAAACATTAATTGGACACAAGAACCGATAAAAGTATTAGGAATATATTTTGGACTTAATAAAAATTAGTGTAAAAAATTAAACTTGCAAAGACAATACGAAAAATCGGAAAAAATAATTAAAGATTGGAATAAAAGAAAATTAACTATGTTAGGTTAAATAACTCTTGTTAAATCACGAATCCTACCAAATATCACCTATGTTGCATCCGTAACAGAAATTGGTAAAATAATACCTCGCAAAATTTAAAAAAATAATATATGGTTTTATATGGAATAATAAACCAGAAAAAGTTAAAAGAGCTATAATAAGTAAAAATTATCATGCTGGCGGGCTTAAAATGATAGACATAGATAAATACCATAAATATTAATTGGGTAAAAAGATTCATTGATAATGAAGCCTCATCACCCTATTGGAAAGTCTTACCAAAATTTTACTTAGACAAATTTGGACAAGAATTCCTTATATTTAAAATGGACTTTAACAATATTAATTTGATTAATAAACTTAAAGAAATTGTTCCAGAATTTTACTTCAAAATAATCATATCATGGATAAATTCAAAATCTGAAAAGAATCAGATCGACTAACATATAAACATATCAGACAGCAACTAATATGGGGCAATAAGTATATCAAATTAAATGGTAAATGTCTTATTTTCAAAAATTGGATAAACAGTAACATTTTATTGTAAATGACATAATTGATGATAAAGGAAAAATTAATCGAAAAAAGATTTTAGATAAACTATGTTGCCATGCTAATTGGTTTTCGGAATGTACAAAATTGATGAAAGCAATACCAAAACAGTGGTTACAAGAGCTAATTAAAGAAGAATCAATTAAAACAAAAGTCGCTACCGACTCCGAATTTAAATTCCAAGATAGAGAAGGAAAATTGGTACCAATAAAAACATTTTCCTCCAAAGATATCTACATCTACCTTTTAAATGGATATTATGAGAAAGCAATAGGATTTCAAAAATTGGACAGAATTCTTAATTAAGATAACAATACAAGGAAAAGAGAACAAATGTTGTACTTTAACTTTAACTATATTCAAGATAATAAATTGAGAATGTTAAGATGGAAGTTTCTACATTACATTTTACCAACCAAACAATAACTTTTCTCTTGGAAAATAACTAAAACTCCTTTATGTAATATATGTAATGTCATTGAAGATTATGAACATTACTTTTTGACATGCAAATATCTGAAACCATTTTGGGATCAAATAAAACTAATACCAGACAAACTTAAAATAGGACATCATATAATATCACTTGCATCACTTTTGTATGGATACAATATAAACGATACAAATTATTACAATATTAACGATTTTTTAACAATCATACTTTTTACTATATATAAAGTATATTATATATCCGAGCAGAAAACATAACATATTAATGTGTTTGAAATTTTTAAAAATGAACTTCTCCAACATTACGAAATATTGAGAAATAAACAAGGCAAATATAATAACTTCTACAATGTGGTTGCAGAAAAAATTAATTTATCTTCTTAAACTAAGAATATATCATATCAATTTCTTTTTATTCTGTTACACATTATTTATTAGCAAAACTGTATACTGTGTACTAACAAGTACTTACCTTATCACTGAAATGCTACATACTAACGTCAACAGAAGAAGAAATTCATGATGAACGATTGAAATAAATTCAGAAAAACACATTAAAAGATAACAAGTTGATAGTGTTGGCATTTGATTTTGTATAGACCAATGAAGAAGTTTCCTAATATTGAAGACTTGATCACTTTGATAGGCAACTCGTCTAAATGCCACATGTTAAGATAAATATGTAACTAGTATATATTAGCCACTGGATTTCAAATTAGACTGAAAGCTGTTTGATTTACTGTTTAGCTTCACAATAGTTTCAGCGTTTTCAAAAGCCATTCCATCTCCCAAATACTAGTTTTCTGTTTGAGATCCCTTCTAGTTTCAACGCTTCTCATATTTATCCATAGCTTGCCAAACTTCGGCTCTGAGGTTTCTGAAGAAGGCTTTCTTCCAGATTTTTAATACATTGTTGTATATGCTGTAATTGCAAGTCAAATATTCAACAGACTTTAACAATTGGAATAATTCAACTTAGAATCGTATCAATAGAAACATAAAAGGAACACAGTAAACACTTTAAATGAGACGACAATTGGAACAATTTGTCTTTTTTTTTTTTTAAAACAAACATTGTAACAAAAACTTTTTATTGATTTATTTAACAATATACAATGGAAGCCGAATGACATGTTAATACTGTACTAAAACATGTAAAGCTAATTAATAAAGGCAAAGCACTAAAAAAAGACCCCAAAACTACATTCTACAAAACATAACACAGAAAGCTAAAGACTGAATAAAACAAACTGCAACAACAACGGGAGATGATCTGAGGTGTTCTAGAAGGGTAAGCAGATCCTGTTCCATATGTGACACCCGTCATGTTGCTAATGTAAGTACACATTCGGTGAAAAGTCTCATTCAGTGATGTTATGGTCGAGTTTAAGAAAAAAAAATTGTTGTTACGACGATTGGAACATATCCGTCGTCATATGTGCAACATATATTCCATAACCGTCAACGAACTCATGAAGGCGTCCGTAAAATTTTTCGAAGGAGTTATTTAACTTTACCACATAGAACCCTAGGTTTTATAGTTTTCTTGTAAACAGAAAATCCACTTTCAAGGAAATCATGATAGAAATGGAATATAATATCAAAAACCATATATTGTGTCGAAAGTTCTGTTCTCAACCGACCCTCTCATGGTCAGTTTATAGATACAGGAAACTGTATCTGTGGTATTTTTCATTTCAAGTTCGATGGGATAAATGCGAGCAACTTAATCACTTGTTTTATTTAATGAGAGGAAATGATCAATATAGCGGAACCTGAAGTTAAATGATAATGCTAGCTTCTTTTATTCTTCATTAACAGCTCCTGTATGAATTATTCTTCATGCGATTAAAGGGAAAGGGCAGATTAATGATAAAGGACAGTTTGAATTATGTATTAAACATCTATTCAGTTAAAACAAAAACCGTCAAAATTCCCATGAGTTTGTGAAATTTTGTTAATCAGCAACAAAAGTAAATACAAATATTTTACTTTTAATGCCGTTAGTACCAATAAATTGTTTGAGAAACTAGTCAATAACAGCGTAAAAAGTAAAATAGAAAAAATACCGAACTCCAAGGAAAATTCTTGTTATTAGATGCCTTCTTAATATTCCACATCATTATCACAACCATTATAATGCACAATTCAGGTGTATCATGATTGTGCTCTTAGTAGAGCTGGTGTTTGTCTATATCATTTGGTTTTATAACATAGATGACATGTAATCTGACAATTCTTTTGAAGATCATTGGCATTAAAAGGTATTTTAAGTGTTGGTGTATATTCATATATATAAATAAGAAGATGTGGAATAAGTGCCAATGAGACAACTATCCATCCAGGTCACAATGTGTAAAAAGTAAATAATTATAGGTCAAAGTACGGCCTTCAACACGGAGCCTTGGCTCACACCGAACAGCAAGCTATAAAGGGCACCAAAAGGAATAGTGTAAAACAATTCAAACAGGAAAATCAACGGTCTAATATATATAAAAAACGAGAAACGAGAAACACTTATGAACCACACCAACAAACGACAACCACTGAACAACAGGCTCCTGACTTAGGACAGGTGCATAAAAATGCAGCGGATTTAAACGTTTTAACAGGCGCTTACCTTCACCCTAACCTGAAGCAGTGGTATAACATTACAACATAAAAAGACACACAATGAAATATAATTGAAATGGTTTAACTCGACACAAAAACAAGTTAATATACACTGAACGAATAAGTTTGATCTATGACACAATATAAATAAATATACATGAATAGTAAGATGACCACTCAGAAACTTTTTTTTATCTTTGTCCCTCCTCTTGTTTATTAACATGAATTTGTCGCGACATATAGAAGGTATGAGATCGAATCTTGAATACACCTACTGATCTTTTTTCCGTGAGTAATATCTTCTCCTGTCCGGGACATGTTTCTAATTCTACATCTCATTCTAGCCAATAGAATCTTTCCCACATCATAAGGCAACCTATGAATACCAATATTTGTTACGTAATAATTTCAAGATGGCGTGAATATCGTATGAAACTAATAGCTTCGCACCGTGATGCGAAGCAATAAAGTAAGTGATGAATACGGTCATTGTTGTTTCATCTTTTATTTTTTACCAAAGCTACTACAAAAATGTTAAAGTTATCTTTCTGGTAATCATACATGCATACAAACTTGACAAATACATTTACCATAGTTGTACACGTTATACGTGAAAATGGCGAGAAAGGAACGACAGTCAACAAAGAACCAACTGGTGACCTTGGTTCAAAAGGTCAAATTGTGGGAAAAGGGACTTCTCTATACAAAAGGTCAACTAGGTGTCAACGGACCAAAAGGCAAGAAAGGCTCAATCGGCGAAAAAGGTCAAAGAGGAGACAATAGTCCTATCGGTAACAGAGGTCAAAGAGGCGATAAAGGAACCGCGGGAAGTAAAGGTGACAATGGAAAATTCGAAGACAAAGGATCAGTTGGTGACAAGGGTACAATCGGTGACAAAGGTCAAATAGGTAACATGGGTCTCCCTGGAGTTCAAGGCCAAACAGGTGAACCCGGTCACAAAGGTGCCAATGGTGAAAAGGGTTTGAAAGGGTCATCTGGTGATTCAGGTAAGGATTTGTATTTATTTTTACAAAGCGAATCGACATATTAGCCAAATAAAATCGTAGAATAATATGAATGAGTAGATGGGGAACGAAAGATAGAATGTCCAGTATTTGATATTCATGTTATTATTTTTGAAATATTTGTTTAAAGTAGTCTGATTAATATAAAAATCCTCCACGTTTTCATTAAAGAATATGACAACGATCGGTTCTTCTTTCTGTACTAAAGACCCTTTTGGGATCCTCTAATTTTTTTGTTATGATACACACCTTCAAAAATGTGTAGGGAGGAATTTCATAGATTGCAATATCCTTGTAATCGCAGCTTAGACATATAATTTGTGTAGTAATCAGACTGTCTAAGTTTTTTGTTGTTGTTGGTTTTCTTAATAATCCACCCTTTAAACATTTTATTCATTTGATTCACATTCAAATGATTTGAAGCGATTTTTTGGTTTATTTACAGTAGGCGTTCATACATGTACAGAAAACCAGTTCAAAAATTAATATATTCATAATGCCTACATGTACACAATGTATTTATAGCCGTATATTTGATGGTGATTCATTGGAGCAACAGATATATATTTTTAATAAAAGAGCTGCACAAATCCTAGCATGGCACAATCATTCCGTTATTCCGTACATCAAAGTCCAATTTCAAATCATGAAATCATAAAAAGCCAAAATTCTAAGGAGAAATGTTAGATGGGGTTATTTGTATTTTTATCCATCTGATGAGTTCAGCCTCTTTCAACTGATTTTTATAGTTCGTTCTTATGTTGTACTGTTATACCACTGTCCTAGGTTAGGGAGAGGGTTGGGATCCCGCTAACATGTTTAACCCCGCCACATTCTGTATGTATGTGCCTGTCCCAAGTCAGGAGCCTGTAATTCAGTGGTTGTCGTTTGTTTATGTGTTACATATTTGTTTTTCGTTCATTTTTTGTACATAAATTAGGCCGTTAGTTTTCTCGTTTGAATTGTTTTACATTGTCATTTCGGGGCCTTTTATAGCTGACTATGCGGTATGGGCTTTGCTCATTGTTGAAGGCCGTACGGTGACCTATAGTTGTTTATTTCTGTGTCATTTGGTCTCTTGTGGAGAGTTGTCTCATTGGCAATCATACCACATCTTCTTTTTTATATTTACATTTTTTATCTATTATGGGGTTAGTGAAAGAGAAAACCATACTTTACACAAGTTCAATTACTCTGGCAAAACAATTCGAAAATCCTAGTTATTAATAGAAACCATGTATTCGCGGGTATCTACAATGTGCTGACATTGCGTTTTGTTTTGTTTTGTTTTTTTTCACCTTAAGCTGACATTGCGTATTTTTTTTATCTTTATTAGAGCTGACATTTCGTATTGACAATGTAGATAATTATGTTATTAAAGGTTGATGAACTGTATAACGCCTTCTTGGATTATAAAATGGAAGTACACAATCGGTCTAGTTCATTGCTTAAATATGCAAATATTTAGACAGATTAGCAATTAATATGTATGAGTGTTCGTCTACATAAAAAACGCAGTGAAGTATTGCTTTAGTCAGATTGTTTTAAAAAATACTAAATATTTGTTTTTGTTCGATTCGATTTTTCAACTTAGCCATATAAGGGGAGATAACTCTTATAGTAAGAAATTTATACTAGAATGATAGTGAAATTTTCATTTTGTACTTGTAGCAAGAAAAAACAAGGTCGGTGACACCATTTTTTTTTTTTTTTTTTTAAAGCATATTTTGAAACCTATCTTCTCATATTTTATTTCAAATTTCTACCACATACATTTCTTTTCATTCACGAAAAAGTGTTTTTTCATGAATAATCTATACAAAATTGGGCAATTTTGGGCGACTTCTAGCTTGAAAAAAAGCACGTTGACTCATACGTTTAATTATATTTTTAATGAAATATTTTGAAAATGTCAAAAGAGATGCCTATTGTTACTGAATTGTTATTTAGTACATTATGCTGCCATTTAAGAGTTGGGATACTTCAATAGTGATCAAACACACCATTGAGAATCAGAATATGCTTATATTTCCTGATGTTACTCAAAAAGAAATTCTATTTTTCTTTTACGTCGGTCGCATTTTTTTTCTGGATTTTGAACACATTTAATTAGTAGATTGTATATCCCTCAAAAGAAGCACAAACCCTCATATTGTTGAGATACAGCTTGCAAGCATGGGGTGACGTCTTATTCTCTAGAGATTACGCCATTTGTTTCGACAAAAACATTTAAATTCACATAATGAGAATGAATAATATTCGGAGAAAACTATTGGAGGCAGTTTAAAACCATTATGGTAGAAAATAGTTACAACCTGTAATATTCGAAAAATATATTCTCCAGTTTGTCAAGTGACAATCAGAAAGTGCTCGTATTGTAGCCTGCATGATAATCACAGATCAATGGGAATAGGGATAGATTTTTAAATAAATAGTCAAAAGTCAGAATTTAATCGGTGTAAGAATTCCTTAGTTCTGACATTTCGTACAAAAGTCGACCAAAATTAACAATAAACGACGTCGCGTAACATTACCATTGCTAAACCGAATACCGTGCGTAACGTCAGTGGCTTCACTGACCGGTATATATATATATTACATAATATTGGTACAAGTATATTTGAAGAATTGGGCGTTGTCGGAAACACCATGAAATTTCTCTATTCAAATGACAAATGTCTTTTCCGTGCCTTTCATTTCATTCTTTCCTAAACCTTGTTGTAATTGAAGCTATGATGTTCTCGCTTACGTAATTAAGTAAGATAATAAAGTGTTAGTATTTCATTCAGTCTATGTTATGAACAGTGATTACTAGCATGTTAACACTGGTATTGTGATTTCGAACCCCGCTCGTGACATGGTGCTCACGATTCCATCTTAATTTGACTTGGATTGCATGATATCCTATCGGAGGTACGTGGTCCTCTGAACCAATAAAAACTGAATTCCATGATAAAACCAACAGCGCTGAAAGTGATGTAAAATACCAATTATCAATCATTCAGTCGATGCTAATTGGTTTCACACTTATGCCTAAAATAGGCTGACTGTTATGAACTGATGTTTTAACTGAAATTAAAAAGTATATATGCAATTGAAATTTTAAGCTATAAAATATTTAGAAATGCATCAAAATCCTTATGACATTAAACAACATGGAGCAAAGAAAACATATCGCCTGCCTCGTTAGTTGAAAGACTTCTTAAGTACAGGTCTAATAATCAAAACTTGTATTTCTAAAAAGAAAACTATTATATGTTTATTGATTAAAGAATTGCACTACTTTTAATGCTTTTCATTCTAGGAAAGGTTCCTGTAGTTCTTTTTCGTGTTCGAAAATTCTCGCCAGACTCCGATCTTTCAGGAACAGTAATCAGATTTCCTAATGTAGATATCAATTCAGGCAGTGGATAAAAATGTCCTTGCATTGAAATCTTTTCCCTACATATAACAACATTTCTAACAACAGTTTCAATCTTGCCTCTGATTTTGGCTCATATTAGCTTGAATAGTGTTTTGCTGGTTACTTTTCAGATTGAAAGCATGCAACAGTTTCAAGGTTGGCATTTTGAAACAGAGTCTTTAGTTTTTAAAATTATTTTCGTAAACCTTTGAATTAGGTATTGTTACTTATAGAACGTCGTAATCTTTTTGAATCATATTTCGGATCCGTGTCACAAAATAAAGTATTAAATCATTTAGTTGGTTGTTCCTGGCTGACGGGATCGTCGATGATAGAGATTTTGTCAATATTTGGTATTTAACTTAGAAATACAGCATACCAGCACTTCATCATTGAAATTGTAATGATTTATTTATGCTTATGAGTTATATTCGTGCATATCGTTTTGACAACTATTAAAATCCGGTGTCCTTCAAGCTGTCTGGGTTATCGGCAATATGAATATATTGTTTGTTTTATTTAAGTCTATGTATTTAAGGGAAAGAAGTTAAGGTAATACCTGTTATTTTCGTGCTATTTTTAAAGTCCAAAGTCTTTAATTTTGGCAAAAATCAGCGGAGTGGAACCAAATGTGAACTCGATCTGTAACTCATCATATGTCAAGGCGTTTAGAAAAACTGTTCGTTGCGGAATGACGGAATGACGAAAAGACAGAATGACGGATAAAACCAGCTCAATATGTGAAGGCGTTTAGAAAAAAAAGTCAGTATAACTGTTATTTTCATGAAATCTTTGAGGTCCAATATCCGTAATTTCGGCAAAAATCAATGGAACGGAACCAAACGTAAACTCGATTTGTAACTCATCATAGTAGACTCACATACTAAAAATCATCTCAATATGTGAAGGCGTTTAGAAAAAAAAGTCCGTATAACTGTTATTTTCACAAAATTTTCAATGTCCAAAGCATGTTATTTGGGCAAAAATCAGCCGAGCGGAACCTAACGTAAACTCGATCTGTAAGTCATCATAGTAGATTCACATACTAAAAATACAGCTCAATAAATCAAGGCGTTTAGAAAAACTGTTCGTTGCGGAATGACGGAATGACGAAAAGACAGAATGACGGATAAGGGTAAAATTATATTACCCCGACATTTTTGTGGCGGGGCCATACAAAGAAATATCAAAACACATGAAATGAGACGACTATTGGGAAAACATACTTTCAGGAACATTTTTTTTATTTTTTAAGATAATCATGGTAACATATACGTTTAATTTATCTATTTCACAATATACAATGAAAGCCGACTCATTTATAAATACTTTACAAAATGCTTTTACTAAATAAAAACGTAAAACTAATTAATAGAGGCTAAAAAAACGATAATACAAAAAACTGTCTACAAAACATAACATAGAAAAACTTTATGTTGAGCAACACAAACCCCAACGAAAACTGGGGATGGTCTCAGGTACTATGGAAGGGTAAGCAGATCATGTGTTCTACATATGACACCCGTCATGTTGCTCAGTTTATGGAAATGCGATGAAAAGTCTCATGTGGTGATGCCATAGTCGAGGAAAAGAAGATAGATTTAGTGTTACGATAATTGGAACATATCCGTCGTCATGGGTGATACAGAAATTACATAACGGTCAACCAACTCGTGATAGCGTCTATTAAATTTTTGAAGGGAATATTCAACTTTACCATTTGGAACCCTTGGTTTTATAGTTTCCATTTAGCAGCAACCCTCTATTAAGGAAACTATGATAGGAAATGCAAGCTTTAGGATATAGTATCATCTACAACAAACCATTGGTTAAATAAAACAGGAAATACAATGGTTTCAGAAGAACTGCTGTGTGCAAAACTTTTAAGGCCACGCAGAACGATTTCAGCGTCCCTCATTAATTTTGAATATAAAATAAGATCGATTTGTTGATGTTTTTAAATAAAATGTACTATTTTTGAAAATAAATCAAGTATTCACATAGAAAGATTGATCAATGATCGAAAATTACTTTCACATCAAATGTTTACTATATCTTTTACTTAGTTGGGGCATGTATTTTTATTATCAAAATCCATGTTTGGGGCAAAATATCAGAAAAAAAGATGTCCCATGCTAACAGAAATATTTATTCTATCTCTATACAAAGCACAAACTTTCAAAAAATCGTCAGTGTCAAAAATTGAAATTCATCAGTGAAAGAATACACATTCTTAAATTTGAAAAGTCTCCACAGTTCTCAATTTATTACTGCATAAATTAAGTGTCGCTTAAACGGACAATATTCGAGTAAAAGCCTTTGTTTTTTTGTATTTCAGTCATACTTTATATAAAATGAAAATTATGCAATTCGAAAAACCATACAAATTAGCTTTTTAATTATTGTACAGCATACGTTATCTCTTGTGTTTTCTCTGTTTTGAGTAGTAACAAACGATGAAGGACCAATTATTTGTCTTTAATAAATGGTTTAAAATATCAATAAGAACTGGAAACAAATACTTAAAATTAATACATGTCTATTCAATGATTGATAATCATTGTCAATTAGGAACGTACTTATACCCCTAGTATGAATAATACTATGGATGGATAAGTGTATTTTGGGGGAATTAAAGTCAATAATCAAATTCATGTATTATCCATACATGTTATAATCATAACTACTGGATATTCCTGTTTGTGTTTACAATCTCGTTTCACACATTTAAAATGTTTGCATCACGAATTGCTTGCAATTTATAACATTTCATATTACCGGTACTTATGCGGGTGTGTTTTACGACCCATGAGGGCCTCACATGGTCGGCTCTGGTTCACATCACTTTTGACATGACACATCATGAGTGTAATGTAAGTATATTACTTTTACCTATATCACCCTCGTTTCGAAAACTGGTCAGAAAATTTTTTAATTGTGCAAGCGGTTCATCCATCACCAATATCTTAAATGTTTATATAAACTAAATTTGGATGCGGGTTCCAGTGACAGTCATGTGAGATGTAATAAGATTATCTCTGAAGTTGTTAAGCTTATGGTCAGGGGTCTATAATTACCGAATCTTTGAAAATTTGATTGACACGTTAATCTTTATCTGTCACGAATAGGCAAGTTAATACACAGCGGGAGCAAGTTTCTCAGTGTATTTTTTATCTTGTAAATCCATTTCCCGTATACAATTGACAGTCAAATAATTTCAAACGAAAAATATACTTTACGTTTATTTCTCCGATTATTTTAAACACTCGTCGAAATTTGAGTTTCCATTTATAAAAATAAAAAGATGTGGTATGATTGCCAATGAGACAACTCTCCACAAGAGACCAAATGACACAGAAATTAACAACTATAGGTCACCGTACGGCCTTCAACAATTAGTAAAACCAATACCGCATAGTCAGCAATAAAAGGCCCCGAAATGACAAATGTTAAATAATTCAAACGAGAAAACTAACGGCCTGATTTTTGTACAAAATAATGAACGAAAACAAATATGCTATATAGCAACAAACAACAACCACTGAATTACAGGCTCCTGACTTGGGACAAGCACATACAAAATGTGGCGGGGTTAAACTAGTTTGAAGGCGCGCCAACCCACCCCCTTACCTGGGACAGTGGTGTAACAGTACAACATAAGAACAAACAAAAAACGGGCTTAAATCGTCAGATCGATACAAAGCAGAAATACTTGTAACAAAAACACAGAGTGGACGTGGCAGGATACTTATACATCCCCACAACAAAAAGACCCTAGGTACAGATCTGAGAGTACTCGCAGTTACTGACAGCTAGTTCAAAGCCAATAACAAATAATAAAAAAAAATCATGCATCTAAGACTAAGATATCAATCAGTACACATCCAACATCCAAAGGTTTTAGTGTAAAGACGGCATTAACAGTCAGAGAAAAACATTACCTTGTGCAATGCCAAGATACAGGTATCGACAGATGTCTGCATTATCATATATAATTGCATTGCTCTCCCCTTGATTGTTAAACAAGGTATGGATGATTTTTCAGAAGTTCGTTTGTTCAATCTTAGATTTAAATATTTTCAATTTAAACGTTATCTATTTTCAAAACGTCGCCGTAAAGTTTAAAAGGTTCCGTGGTACTATTTTGAACATTATTGTTGTTTATCCCTTATTTTGATCAATTTGCAATCAGAAGAACTTGTTTTGATAGTTACTTATCAAACAGAAAATCAAGTGTTCCAAAGAAAAATTAAACACAATGTATTAGATTTTTTTTTATTTTTCTCCTCTACAAATAAAAAATATTATGTTGTCAAATATTTTTATTTACACATGTTCAGCTTTTGATCAGTATCAAGAGTGAACATTTTTTAATTCTTTTTCTGGTGATTAATTTCAATGTTTGAATGTAAAAATGTAGTTTATGTCTCAGTACAGTTTTCAAGTTATCAATACGTATTCAACAGTAAAAAAAAAATATGCATGTAATTGTTTGATTGTTACTCCAAATTTAAAGTATTAACTTCGAATATTCACAGCTGGTTAGATATGCATAAATATACTTTATATTCTTTCAGAAGTTGTCCATCATCATATTTGCTACATTAAACTACACCACTCCTGAAAAAATGAATTAAACATATATTATTAATATTGTATTTATAAACATTAAAGAGGGTTAACTATTTGTAAAAATTTCAAATTATTCCGGTTCATTGAAAACATCGAAGTAGCAATGGTTTTAGCGATTGTATTCCACATTATAATTTTTGAAACGATATATAATAGTAATAACTTGCGTTTCGAATTTCTAAAAGAACTAAAACCAGATAATTATTTATGTTGTGTCGGATTTGTTTTTTGTAAGGTTACAAAACGTACGATTGTCTTACAATGAATGAGAAAAAACCTACACAGCATTTCGTAGTCATCAACATTCTTTTGTATTGTCAATTGGTCTTCAAAGAATTCAGTGCCATACGTCCCAAACTTTTCCCCCATTTGTTCTTTTGACACATATATTAAATTCTGTTTCTTTTTCTTACTGTCACTTACAGGGCAATATGAAGCTGGCTGATCCTCTTCGCAAATAGCAGAAATCAGATCGCGGACTTGTAGATCATTCTCTTCTTCCAGCAGTCTTTTATTTTGAAATGCTCGGTATTTCAGTTTATAGGTCTGCATTAGTGCCAACAAACTTGGATTCTTTTTAAGCCAACCATCGATTGTTCGATCAGCTGGATTGTCCTCGTCGTATAGCTCTTCTCTATTGGTGAAAATAATAATGGTATTCTTCAGGAATAATTTATTTTTCTTGAAAATATCTTCAATTACTTGTCTTTCCTCTGTTGTATATCTTCCTACTTGAATTACCAAAGCATATGTAACGTTCCCTATCTGATGGTCTCTAAGGATTCGCTTAATTTCATCTCTTAATTTTGAAAAGTCCGACGATTTCTGAAGACCGGGTGTGTCGATTACACGAATGGCCAACTTTTCTCGATATGCGGTCTCTGTTTCAACTTTTGTTGTAATGGGTATTGTCCCAATTCCAATTTTGAACGGTTTTGATCCTATGATATTGTTTCCAGTAGAGCTTTTACCGCTTCCAAGTGACCCAAATAAGACTATGGTCATTCCATCCAATTGCCTGAAAACATTATTTGAATAATTTAAAATTTTACACTGATAAACCGAGCCTTTTTTTAATTTATCATACTATTTTGACATTAAAAATGTGATATGTTTAATTGATTTATTTATTAAACTTTTTATTTGTAATTTGTGCTTCCATTTTTAAATTTAAATTTTATTTATTTATTGTAAACAGATTCATTGTACATTGTGGATTATTGGAGGTTTTGGAGTTCATGCGATTCCCTCGGCTTTTTCTTTGTAAATTCTACATGAATGTACGAGATTTGAACATTGGTAACCAACTGTTGCTTCAATTTACCTTTGGGAAAAAAGTATTAACAAAAATACTGAACTCCAAGTTAAATTCCCAAAAGGGAGAATTCCATTAAACCTGACACAATCAAACGCTCGACTATTTCAAGGGACGAATGGAAAATAACTGTTATATACCTGACTTGGTATAGGCATTTTCGGAAGAAAATGGTGGATAAACCTGGTTTTATAATTTGCTTAACCTCCCACTTGTATGACAGGGACTCCATATGTACGGTAAAAATACACCAAAAGCAGTGTTTTATAGGAAAACAGGTAAACATATAATACAGAACCTACACCAGATAAATTTGAAGATAAACCACGGGCAGCCATGAACCGTTTCAATTTATGTAGGATAAACACAATCAACATATTTATAACTTTTTTTGTGAATGGAACGTATTGAGAAATGGATATTTACCATCACTACCTGTTCATGAATATTCTTACACGTAACATATCACAAACGCGACGAAGACCCCATATAAGGATGTGTTTATTTAGAAAAAAAACGTTTTACAATTCAGCGTAATCATAATTTCAAAGGACTGTACCTTTTCTCTAATTTGTCAGTTGTTTATGGTTTTGTTTCTCTTTTTCTCAAATAGATTAGAAAATTAACTTTTGAAAATGAAAATAACAGTCAAAATGTCTTACCTTGAGCTCTTTGCCATGATACAACACCTTCTGTTAGTGTGTTTTACAAACAGAATAGTGGTGCGCAATTCTTAATGTTTAAATGTTCGTTTTGGTAACTATAGCATGTGATTTCCAAATAAGGCAATGAAAGTCGTTAGTCGTCCTAAAACGACGACTCGCAATTTGTCGTATCACATGAGCCATGCTGTCTTAGAAACCATGGAAAACTTTACCATATAAGGTATCATGTGAATATTTTCTTGTTGCCATATCTTTCGTGGCCCTTAAACTGCAGTGTCTAATATTGCGGTAGCAGAAGTATAGCTGGAACAGAAATATGGAAACGTAAGTATTTTTACTGATCGCTTTCTATAAAGTAACAGAAATCTGACTGACACAATGAAAATTTCACTTTTATTTTTTTCTATGGATTAACCTGTCATTTCAAAGTTTTTCAATTAGTTAATAACATTAATAAGATCGACTTTAAAGTCACTGGAACAGCACAAAATTCTATCAATAATTTCAGAACTCGTCATTATATTTTTCTTTATATTGCAAATTATTTTAATTCTTAATTAACCATCTCTGAGAAAACGAATTTAATATCTATGTTTTACGAATCTAGGAAAAAATGCAATTAAGCATAACACAATAAAAGCAATAAATACAATCCATATAAACAATTTAAAACAAACGATGAAAAATTTAAAAATTTGTAAAAACAGACATCTTAATCCCTGTACAAAAAATTAAGAATTCGTAATAAAAAATCTAATTTCAGTTCTGTTTTGCATAATCGTCTTATGTTAAAAAGGGAACTTCAGTTATATGCACATGAAATCATAAAATGTGTCATACACTATTTGATCATCGGTTATTAATTAAACAAAATGAATCTGTAAATACATAAATGTTTGTATCATATTAAACATAAATATAGAAGATTTAATATGTGAGCTTCTGTATGTGAATAACATGAAAGCATTGCCGATTTTGTCGTTTGCCATTATTTGTTATCGGCTGCGATAACTCCGCAGAGTTCGTTCGGGGGAGTGTACATGCTGATGATATAATATGCTTTGTCAAAATATCAAACTAAAATCGTTTAGAACACGATTTCTTCAAAATATGAAAAAACCATTGTACTACAGCCATCGGGTTTAAAGAGTGATGTAACAAACATCTAAATTTGCGCTTACAATACATTCCTACCACTGCAGTTATATGAATTTTATCTTAAATTCATCATGGACATCATTTAAAATATAAAAAAGGATTATCAATGATAATCATTATGTTCTTCTGCTTAAGCATTTTATAGAAATCAAAATATGGTCAAGACAGTTGTGATGATTTCTCGGTATGGTTTTTCATCGAAAGAAATAATAGAATTTTCATAGAAGACTGACAAAATTTTAATTTAGTAAGTTTTTTTTATTTTAATTTATTGGAACATCGGTCAATAATTATGTGTGTCTAATAAAACTATGGGATCTTAGAGATTCATGTGGGAGTAAAAAATTTCCAACGTAAATAATTGTGAAAGTTAATAGTCTTAAAAAAAGTAAAAAGGTTTGTTCTTAATAAGATAGAACTGTAATATTTCTTTAAAAGTGCGTAATCATATGTTTATGTACAAAAACAAAAAATATATTGAAAAGGTATTAATACATATTTTTTTTTAAATTCCCCATTTACAAATAATGAAAGATATTATTTCAGCCATGAAGTAAAATTTAGTCTTTATTTCTAACAACATGTTTAGATATCACTCAATATTCACTTTTTTATTATATTCACCCACAATGACAGTTAATTGTTAATGTGAAACAACTAATTATAACTTCAAATAATTTAGGATTCAAAGGAAAGCAAATAGTAAGTTAACGTTTCCTGTCTATTTATCACATGATTCTTTTTTTTTTCAGAATAAGAGTTGCCCTTATTGGCAAAACAGGAGCTGGAAAGAGTGCATTAGGTAATACGTTACTCGGAGAGAAAAAATTCAAGTCTACAGCAGCATCGGAATCTGTAACAATCAAATGCGAGGCAAAGACTGGAAAACTACCAAATGGTAGAGCTGTTAGAGTAGTAGACACACCCGGTATTATGGATACTGAAGGTAGAGATGTTCGTGATGAAGTAACAAAAGCCATTGCTGCATTATCACCAGGCCCACATGCATTTCTGATTGTTTTGCAGCCAGGACGAGCAACAGAAGAAGAAAAACGCGTCATAAAACAGCTGAGAGGTCTTTTTGGTGATGAAGCATTCATGGAACATACAGTTATAGTGATGACAAGAAAAGCGGATATTCAAGACGAAAATGAAGATCCTATCTCCATCCAACAGTATATGCAGAGATATGCTGCTGATGATGTTAAAGACTTATACAGGCGATGCGGTAGAAGAATTGTGGCAGTAGAAAATAAACATGCTTCTGAACATGAAAAGCAAAAATATGCCCAGGAAGTTGTTGATGAAGTGGTTAAAATGGGTGGTTTCTACTCACATGCATACTTCAAATTAATGCAACAAAAGAAAATTCAGGAGGAGGAAACCAGACGATTGAGACGAGAAATCGAAAGAGTTGCAGAAGAGCAAAAAAGGGGTTTTTGTTCTATTCTATAAACGGCGCATGATAAAGGTTCCACGCTGAATTAATTTAAGAACTTTAGTGCAACCAAACATTTAGAGCATTCACATGATTTTGCATTGTATACATTCTTACAAGAACTTTGTTATGACATGATGTATAATTCAAAATAAAAGAATTTAAAATTTCTATATTTCTTATATAGACAAAACATGAAATACCTGATGTGTTATTACGAAGACAATGTCCATGATTTAAGATAAGTATAAAAGATTTAAATAGGTTCACTGAATTGATCGCCTATGTTATTAAAAAAACTTCTGCAGAAAAAGTGGAGAAATTACAAACAAATATAGATAATGGAAACTTAATCTTAATAACTGATATTGGGAAAGATGTTACTTGTTGATAACGTTTGTCAAAAATCTCTACTTAGTAAAAATATAATTTTTCATTTATAACATTGATATTAAATTGAATTTGAAATATGCAGGTTGGGTATATTAATACCTGGTGCATATCTGACAAGGGAATTTGGGATAAATATACTAAAAGTAGGAGATATAATATGGCCTTTATTTAGGACCCTTGAATTCCAACATTTATTTATTTATTAAACGAAATCCTTCAGATATCATAAGACATCATTCTGTTAGATATCAGTATTCATATTTTTGAATTATGGCTTACATATTTGCATTAGGGCGTCGAACTTGTTGGCGTTAATACAAAACTGACAAAGTATCCTTGATTTTGACGCTTGACATTATTATTTAGATATGAGCGAATGACTAACCCAAACAGATGTTTTGCTACAAGATTTCCTAAACAAAGATTTTAATGTGGGTAAACAATATTGTTGAGTAAAGTCTTGACTCATTTTACATTTTCCAAAAGTTTTGTGTAAAATGTCAAACTTATATAATTGTACATATGTTGATGAATTACTATTTATGTAATTCCGGGGAATGTAATGGCTCTTATCGCGCAATACCCCGAATGTCAGTGAGTGCTTGCCTCTCATATATCCCATTAAACTTGGGATAAAATACTTCCGAAACTAGTTCTTAGACTAGATGATCGGCTTCATATCTGATCTTTATCTCGATATTGACACAGATGGACGACTTCAAACTAGACTCTATGAGAAGCGAGATTATTTCAACTTCAAGCTCGATTATGTTCTCACTCGAGGGACTGCAATAACAGGCGTTTTTTCTCTTTTTTTGCTCTAACAGTTTTGTGGAATAAAGACCTATATCGACACCACATAAATTTTACGGTCACCATCACTAATTGGTTGACTGGTACGATGCATCACTGTCTCCACTCACTAGCGAATTTTTTTCGCGGTCTAAGATCTTTAGATACCAGAAAAGTCGTCTCATCTGTTAATTTTCCAATTGTGTCATATTTCTAATTGTGAATGTCGACTAACTGTTGATTCGCATAGTGATTGATTTGGAGTTCATATGATTCCCTCAATGTTTGTTTTTTTACCTTAAATATGGCATTAGTGTTGAAAATATAAACACTTTCTTCCATATTTGTTTTAGCACATCAAGCTTGCTGTTTTTAAATGAAAACTGCAAAATTGCTTTATTCGATATTTCCCAGTTTGTTTAACATGTTAACAACAGCCTCACAAAAGAAATTTGTACTCGTTAATCTTTTTTGTACATGGTTTTTAAACGAATTCTTGTGTCACAGAATCGTCCCATACCAAATGTAACCCAATTGTACCTAAAAATGCATCATAATACATTAAAGAATAAAGTAAATTCCGTATTTGTCGCTCAAAAATGTTTAACCCCTTTCCTTTAATTAATTTTTAGATGTTTTCTACCTGAAAAAAAACATTGTCAACGTTTAAATGAGTAGATTAATTAAACCCCAAATAATAAAATTGATTTCATTCAAACGGCCTGTCTGGAACTTTCTACAAGAAATTCGTGGCCGCCTGGGAAATAAATGCAACAGTAGTATACCGCTGTTCAATAGTCATAAATCGATTAAGTGAAAACAAATCCGGGTTAAAACTTAAAAAGTGGGAAACACATCAACTATAAGAGGAAAACAACGGAACGACAGAGACACTGAAGTGCGACAAAAACAAACGCCAACATACATAGAAACGGACTATTTGAGAAAATAGGGCAAAATCACAAAATCGGAATTAAAATAGTGACGACAACTTTTTATGCCCATATAGAGTATTTTTTGTATCAAAACCTCAGTAGTCGGTGCTTCGGTTCTAACATGATTTATAACATATTTGTCTAAAACTCCCCTTTGATAAATTAAGAATTTCAGATTACTACGAAACTAAGGTTGCAACTCCCTCAGGCAAATTTTGTTCATCAATATATGTCCTTTTTATGATAAAGCTCCTAATGTTTCTACGTATTTATACATCTCTGGCTTTCTGTTAATTTACTTTTATTCAAATGTTTGGGTTTCAGCGTTCCTTATGAAGGTAAAAGTTGATAGTGAAGACGTTAATAAAGT